AGAAATCCCCTACCCCATGTTGTACCTATGCTGATGTTTGCGGTGGGGCGCAATCAACTGCAGAAATACTTCGTTACGTGTGGGGTTTTACAGAGAGTATTGCGGCGTGTCTGCGGATTGCGGCTTGGCTTGGCTTGAGGCGCAGTGTGTGCGAGAGTTGCAGGAGCTGAAATAAACTCGAGGCGTGGCTTTGGTTTATCCTTCAACGTGTGAAGACACGTCTGTGTGGATCGACAGACGCTTGGAGGAGGAGTAGGAGGGTCAGGGTGTGGGTGCGTAGAGGGGGGGGGGCTGCTTCAGAGGGTTGTTTTCATCAAGGTGTTGTTGACGGCACGGGATGCTATTATTTTGCCACTCCCTTTCCGGGGAGATTCCGTAGCGCGTACCCAGCTGTGCCTATGCCTCAGAAATAACGCATAAATTTGTCTTTCTCCTAGTAAAACAAACTTCCTCCGACACGACTATCTTGTGAGTTTCGTTTGGCCAAGACGTGTTGTTGTTTTGTTTGCTCGCGGGTGCGAGATAAGGAGACGCGGAGAAGGCGTGCTGGCTGGAAACATTGCAGCTCCACGTGGCCCACGTGCTTTTCCCCAATCTTGTTGTACTTGGAGGCCCTTCTCATCCCTAAACCGTCCGCGAGGAACAACAGAGGTACCGGGCCGTCTACGTCGATGATGTCGACGCATGTTGGTGATGTCGACCGCACCACTGCAGATTCTTCTATGCGCCGGTGGAAGACGCGGCAAACAGTGGAAGAAAAGCCGCATGCAGTCGCCGTTTTGGCTATGGGAAATTGTCCCCCCAGTCCCCGACAACACAAACGCTTGGTTGTTTTCTCACTCCCGCAGATTTGGTCCCCGTCTCGGCCGTTCGTGTTTCTTTTGTGTGTGCCTTTTCGGGGGGAAATTCTCGTCCTCCTGTTGTGGTGGCGATACTTGCTGCAACCTGCACACCGCGTCAGCCTTGCGAAATGTAGGGATACCTCGCGTGAGCTCTAAAGTTGGACGCTGTGAGACCGCGCTTGTCGGTGTACCCCCGTCAATGCGTGTGTCCTGGACAGAAAGTACAGTTCGCTCGCGCCTCTCGCCACACTCCCCTCAATGATGTGCACGGTCGTATCGGTCGGTAAGTTGGCAAGTGTCTAGCTTCCTTTTTGCGCTCTTTTCGATCACGAAGTTGTCCAGCTTGGCACCTACGATGTGACCGAAGCGTGTCAACTTGTCCAAGTGGGGTAAGAATGCTGGAATCAAAACAGGAGTGGTCCCAAACGCCGGTTCTGTTCGATCATGGTGTGTCAACTCTGTCTGGTGGCCGGCTTTCTGTAGGTGGTGGTTTACTTCGGCCAACGTTCTGGAAGCCCGAGCAAAGCGGCAAGTAGTCAGAGTTCACCCATTGAATGGGGAAGACCCCCGACCAAGCATGGAGAGCTTTCAAGCAGCAGCAGCAGCACACCCCGCCGAGCCAACGTTCACTCGTCTCGACGCGGATCGCCACGAAAGTACGGCTGGCTGTGCTTTGTGTGATGCCCTCCAAGGCCGTAATAATAGCGCTCGGCTTCCTCGGCTGAGCCAAGTAACGAGAAGACGTTGGCGTTTGTCCGCCCATCAGGCCCGCCGATGTGTGCCGCCGGAAGGGTGGACGCGCGACTTCATCAATGTTAGTTGTACTGAACCTTGTTAAATCCTCAACCAAGGGTACAATGAGCAAAGTTTACGTTTTCACACTATGACGAATGGATCTAACCGTTGAGAGCCAGCCGTTTGCTGAGACGAAACGTACATAGTATGGCCCACACTCGTCAGAGCTCGCCAAACATTCTAGGATGCGAGCTCGACGCGTTGAGGTTCTATGGATGGTGGCCCGTTGCCCCCCCGTTCAGCACACGCCCTACACCACCCCCTCCCTGCAACGCGCGCAACAAAATGTTGCCGAACACCGACAACAGGATACACGACACCCAGGGGAAGTAAACGCTAATTTCCTCGCTCTCGTACCGTATGTCACCAGGGAGCGACATGGGCTTGCCGCCAGAGTACCTCCACGACCCGAGCACGACGATGGCTGTGGCTACCAAGGCTAGCGGCCACCGTAGGGTTGGCTCGATCATGTCGGCGACCAGTCTACGACCACCAGCGCTGCCTACCAGCAGCAGCAGGAATACAAGAACAGCAACAGGACCTCTCTGACTCACGTAGGTTTTTTATTGCTATGCACCGTCTTCTGTACAGCACTGTCGCATCTGTGATTGTAGAGTCAGGAGCGACAGAAGCCCTTTGGAATGACCTTTCTTCAAACTATGTAGATAGAAGCAATTTTTGTCTTGAGCGCGCCAAGTCCAGCGAAGCAGGCCCTCACGTGTGCCTTGGGTTGCCAATGATGTGCGTTCTTGGGCCCGCCCCGTTCACAGGTGTCAGCCCAGCGCAAAAAGAGGAACGTACAGAAAAGGATCAGTCAGAAACTCTGCATAAAAACACCATGCAAACCGTGCAATACATTATGTACTAATTTTATAAATAAGTATGTCATCACAGCAGTGAGGAAGAAAAGGCTTGTGCCCAGCCAAACAACACGAAACACGCTGCCTATGCACACCTAACGGCACGCGAAGAAAGGTAAAGGTTGCCGTGTGCCCGCCCATTAACAAACACCTCTCACGCTGCCTATGCACGTCTCTCGACGGCACACAGTCTCTCATCAACCCGCGAGAACGAGACAAATTGGTGACTCTACACACCCAAATCGAAAGTCACAGCTGCTGGGAGATTATTTTGATCCTGACTGAAATCCACTGAGGCATGACATACAGCAGGAGCGACATTGCGGTGTACTAAGTGGTCGCCTGTGTCACCTCGACAAAGACCAAGTTTGTACTTCTTGCTCAAGACTTGAGAAAGTGAAGTGCAACAACCTCTGCCTTCATACCTCAGATATAGGTGAGGGATCACGATGGTCCTGCCAAGGGCGGCCGGTGAACGTGGAAAGAAAGCACCAATGTGGTGATCCCGGGCGCCTGTTGTCTGTTGTCTGCAGTCGGTACTCACAGCAGTGTTGTAACTGGGTGGTAGTCTGTTGAGAGTTGAGAGTGTGAAAATAGTTCCGAATGGGTTTCGCACATGGTTTGTTTTTGCGTTTTGGTTCCCACAGGCACGTGAACCGCGAAACCGCCTCACTGCTGACGCCTCACCGTGCGACCTCATCAGCTCATCAGCTCATCAGTTGGGCCAGCCCTGAACCGCTCACAGTCTCGTGAGCGGTTCGGAGGCGGGCGACTGATTGTGAGCGGCTTCTTCGCGTTGCGCGGCCGCCGTGCGTCTGCTTCCCGGCATGGCTGAACCTGGTTCCCAGCAGGATGGCGTAGTTGCAGCAGCGCGGGAACATGCTGCCAGGATCCGGCGAACGTTGCAGCTTCAACAGTACAAACGAGAGCACGGCCGAGTCCCACCACCGCCAGGAGCAACTTCCAAACCACAAACGGGAAGAGGACGCAAAGGAATTTTTTTTTGTCCACCGCTCCTGGACGGTCCGATTTACAGCCCGGAGTACTGGCGTGCGTGGAAACTCAGGTCTAGAGCAGCGACTCTCCGAGGAAGCCGAGAACGAAACACACGTGTGAGTTCCACCGAGGACATGACCAGTTTGGCTTGCTTGGCAGAATTGGTGACGAGACTTTTAAGTCTCAGTAACAGATTCTAGCAGATAGGCACGCTGAGCGCTCAATTGTCTAGGTCGTAGAGTCGTATTGTCTCTCTGCACATCTTGTCAAACACATGCGTTGTGGGCCAGTGCACACAAGTTCCCACTCATGTTGGCGCTTCCCCCGCCAATACTAAAACGTCATCAGACTTGCGACCTGGGCAACCGCACTGCGAATCCGTTGCGAGCGAATGGTACAAACAGAAGGGAAACTCGTATCGGACGTGTGAGGTTACCTTCTTCGGCGTATTCAACCCCGACATCGTCTTTTGCCGGAGGAAGATGCGGAACGCAAATCTTCGCCGCCGTGTCAGGTGGCGGTGGCGGCGGCGACCTGTTGAAAGCGTACCACGACGCCGTGGTACAGCCCCTGGGGAAGGCTGAGACTCGACCTCGTGCTCGTTCCTCTTCTTCTTCAAATGGTGAAAGAAACGCCTGGACATGTTCTTTTGGGGCACTGTAGATGCCTTCATCGTTACCAAGCTCTCTTTTATTAACGACGGTCGGGATATAATCTACCCGGTTGTTGCCGAATGTGCTCGCAATAGTTTCACCGGTGTATCTGCGTGTTTAGTAGCACCTCCTGACCCGATAGGCGCAGACTATACTTACTGCTTGCCTCATCAAAGATTAAAAACAACCACCCTTCGCATCACATTTCACGCCATTTTTCCTGTGATCGTGGGGCTTGTTCTGCCTCATTGGTTTTCAATCTCGTTGGTGAGCCAACACTGCGCCTTCTTTTTCTCAGGAGTGCGCCTGTCGTACAACAACCCGCGCCCGAAGGATGTCGGCAGTAGCAAGCATTCCGCTGGCGATGGAATGTACGACATCGCCTTGGCCGACGAGGTGGTTATGCGTACTGCACCCAGGTGAACCACCAATTCTACGATCAATGCCATTATCAGAGCAACGCTGTATGGCGTGCTGGTGAGCACCTCCCGAAAACTCCGAATTCGTACATGTACCGAGCAGGGTTCGCGTTGGCTGTACGGGCAGAATTCTGCTCTTGATCGGGTGCTGTCGCCCTTTCATCCTTGTACGAAACCTGTCTGCAATCACACCCTTTTCGTCGTCTACTCAACCTGGAAGCTACGAGCTCGTGACGTGCGTGTTCTGTAGGGTTACGTATTCGAAGGCCAATCTTACGTAGCGGAACAGGAGCCTCCTGTCCACAGCCTTAACCCTCATGCTCCCAAAACTTCCACCACCTCGCCTCTTCTTCGGAGGCAGACCAATGTTGAATTGCGTCGTTCACAAATGATTCTAGAAAACAAGTGGTCGTGCCCGCCGGGTTTTGAAAGGAACGTCTCATCACCAAAGGACCAAGGACAACTATCGACAAGCACAAATAACGTTCCCTCGCCCACCGCCACCTTGCTCCTGGCACAATCGGAACAAAAATAAAGTTGTTCCTTTGGGGCAGGCATGGCGTCGGGTGCCGAGAGCGCCGTACCAGGAGCGTCCAGGGACACTCCGGGTGCCATTTACGACCCCAACATCGGCGGAAGCAGCGCCCCGGCGCCGACGACCCTGTTCTCGCCGGCCAGCCGGTTCCCGGTCGGCCAAAAAGTGTTCGACACTCCGGGCCCGGGACAGTACTACAACCCGGCGGGGGCGGGAGCGTCAGCTTGTCGGCCGGCAGGGCCTGGAGTTGTGGCGTGGACCGGCATCGACACGTTCGCAGACTCCGAGTGGAGTAGGTTAGAGTACCACGTTGTGGGAGTAAAAGTAGATGCCGCTCGGTTTGCAGGACGATGATATCTTGTGTCACGGTTTTCAGAGGTTTCGCACGTGTTATGTACACTCCTGGAAGGCTGACTTCGTCCTTGAAGTTTGCGGTGGAAATGTAGGTGCTTCTGCGTTGTCTTAGCCTGCACGCGCGAACAAGCTGTTGGCCGTCATGATTGGATCAAATGATTTCCCTGTTGGGTACCGTCTGACCCCTCATTCCACAGACCGGTGCCTCCGCCACGCCTTCGCCCCTGGCAAGGCTTCGGAAACGGCTGCAGCGTGCAAGAGCATATCGACTACGGGGCCTGTCTCGATGGCCGCTGCTGCAGCCGTCATTCCGTCGAGAAAAAAAACGCTCTCCTGGTGGCGCAGTTCTTAGACGGACAGCGACAACGGCGATCGCCGCGGTCGCCGGAACCGGCGCGCGAAGACGCTTCTCCTTCGTCGAACTCACCGGCTACCCACAACGAAGACGGCACACCCTTGAGCTTTGCGTCTGCGGACGTCGGTGGCGGAGGAGGCGAATTCGCTGTTGGGTCCGGGGCGGCAAGGGCCGCCGTGCGGAAGAGAACGCCGCTGCACTTTGCGTCAGAGAGGGGGGAACTGTCCCTCGTCGACAGGTGGAGTCACAACGAAGCTTGCACATCTATTCTCCCGTTCTCGAATAGCTTGGCTCCCTCGTTCGGGGGTTCTGAACTACCATAACCCGAACCCTAATCCTCAACCATCGTTCGCATTTTCGGCCGTGCAGGGGTGCGTGATCACACAAGGTCTACCGACGGTCCTTGTGTTCATTTCTACTCTCTTTGATTTTCTGTCCTTTTTTTTTGCGCGCGGGTCGAACAGACTGTGCTTTCAGGGAGACGACCGAAATGCCGTGGATGAGCGCGGCTTCACACCTCTTCACGACGCGGCGGAGCACGGGAACACAAGAGTCGTTAGCCGGCTCCTCCAAGGGGATGAGGTGACTATGTGCTCCACGTTAGGCTGAGTTTCAAGTCGAAAACAAACACAACGGGTGAACGAGTCATGTCATCGACTCTACCTCCATGCACCAGGACACAAGACTTGTGGCGGGGACAGGGAGAACCTCGACAAAATCCACAAATGAGTGTACCCTCTCTGTACCATTAGTACTACAGTAGGACAAAGCGTTTTTCGAAGGACTCTAGAGCTGCTGCGCAAACCTGGCAGCATCCGTAAAGCGACGACAGCTAACTTCCAACGTCGAGAACATCAAGACAGGGCACGTAGGACAACCTCAGCGTTCGATCGCTCTACCACCTGATCATGTCTGTACGTTGTGCCGTTAACCACGGCAGAATGAGGTGCAGCCAGCCGGGGGAGAAAACGCTCCTAGAGGCGCCGCGCCCAAGCGGCCTCGTCAACTTCCTGCCGATCCGAACGTGCAAGATGACAAGGGGAGAACGCCTTTGTATCTCGCATGCCATCGCGGACACGAAAGAGCGGTTCGGGCGCTCCTTAAGGCTGGAGCGTGCCCAGACCTGGTTGATATCCGCGGGAAGCCTGCTCAGGTTTGTTTTCAACGTTGTGTTGTGCTGAGACCAGGCCTTCGTCATGGTTGATGCTGACGTGTTGGTTACGTGGACGTTCTAAAGATGGGGTCACGCTCAACAACTCCATGTCGGGTGATTGATGAATCCTTGCTGATATGGTCATCGTACAGTCACGCAGGAATAACGCGGACGCCAACGCAGCTTTCGATTGGCATTCGCTCCTTTGACGTCCGCATAAGTAAGGCTCAACAAAATCTTATGTATTGCAAGGTGCTTCTTCGTTTTGTCCTTTCTCCCTGCGTTCCCAACTACCATCGCACACACGACGATAACGCCCTCTCCCTATGAAACAGGAAGTAGCAGGCGCGCAGAAGATATACCAACTCCTCCAGTTCAAGGCCGATGTGTCGCTCGTCAAAGCCAACATTGCTGCCCTCGAAGGTCGACAGCGGAACGAGGAGCGACAACGGAAAAAGGTTGCCCAGGCGGCGGCGCTGAAGGAGCTCGCCGATCTAAAGGCGGAAGAGCTGCGGCTGAAAGCCGCGGTGAGCGCGCTAGAGAACAAACGGGAAGCATACGCTGCGGCCGCGAAGGCACAGTAGTGTTTACGCTGGGCGGAAGTGCGTGGATGTTTTCATCTGCTTTAAAAGTGGAGATCATGGGAACAATAACGAGGTTAGCGTATTGTTATGTTCGGTGATAGCTGTGCTAGAGGGATTCCGAGAGGAGTTTGCTCTTCATGTGTTCTTAGATGGGTTGTTGACCACTACGTGTATGTTAAACGCTGGAGAGGAACGTAGGAAATGAAGCCGAATTTTGTCGCAAGCCACCCCGACTGTTGCTTGGCGAAGCGGGAAAGCTGATGCTCTGAGTGTTGACTATTGGATCCGCCGAGTTACAGGAGTGTAGCTTTTAGGAGGTAGATCAAGGCGATGCAGCAGTATATAGGTAAATATCCATTCAAGGGATAAGATCGAAGAGATACCCTGTTGGGCAGCGGCTTGATAGACAGGGCAGAGCAGAGTAGTACTCCAGTGTTCATATACTTAGTAGGTGGGACGTTCCTAAGAGTTGGAGGCACACGTCAGGTGACTCAACAACACGGGAAAGCGAATCGAAGCGAAGCACAGCCGCTGCAACAAGCAGGAACAACTTGCGCTCTACGTAAGCGTTGAAGTTTGACATTCACTTCGCGGCTGCGGCAGTGAAGGCATAGGCACGTCAAAGCTTCCTTCTTGCGGATGGCTATGATGACTAAATGTGCATAGGTGTAGCATGAGGCATGTGAGGGCCATAAGTGGGCATGTCCATCCGCAACGTTTGCAATGGGAAGACCGGCGAAGTTGATACTCAAACAGCGCTTCAATAGCGCGATTCCTCGGATGTTCACAACCACGGCTGCGTGGTTGCCAAAGTTAACGCTCAAATACTGAAAATGACTCATATCGTACAGCTGCTTGGCTTTACCGTTCATCGCAATACACTATTCTGGGTCCGACCGAGAAACCAAACGAATATATCGATCGAACTTTTTAAAACTACAACGGTCGGGCGAGCTGAGTAGGCTTCTTCGCGGCCTCGTTGCCCCCCCCGTCTCCCCCTTTAAGCTTCTGCAGCTCCCTTCTCAGGGCCTGCACCTGCGCTGCCGCCGCCGCGCCTCCGCCGCCGGGCCCGGTAGAGTTAGTGACGCTCTTGCACCGCGCGGCGAACTGGAGGGCGTTGAGAGTCTCGGAGGCGTTGTAGTCTGCGGGGGACGCGCAGACAAACATGAGAGTCTTGCTGTTCCCGCCCAGGGAGTCGCTCATCATCATGGTCAGCGCGTGGTTGCGGTAGGGGATGTGCTTGACCCCCGTCGTCAGCGCCCCGATCACGTCGCCCAGCGCCGAGAGGGACTTGTTGATGCTCTGGGCCTCTTTGAGCTGATCCCCCGAGGCTCCGGACTTTCCCACCCGCTCTGAACCCGCGAGGTCGACCAGCGTGAGCTTCCCTCGGAGGGAAGACCCCGTCCGACGGTTGGTAGAGGTTACCACGATCGAGCACAGGAGGTGAGACCGGGAGCTGTCCGAGTTCATCTGCGTCGAGGACACCGTGCGCCCCTCTGCCCCGAGCTGCGGGTCAGACATGGGAGGGTCGCCGGATATTTCAGTCTCGTTGCGTAACGAAGGGGCGTCGGCGACAAGGTGGTGCTGGTAGCATGCGGCGCTGGCGTTACGGCGACCCATACGTGTGCGAAGAGACCTGCGTCGAACACACTGTTAGGGAGCTCGATTCACAGGGTACTATAGGTTTGTCGGACGGGCGGTGAAAGGGTACGTGGGCGGGGAGAGGACGGATGGTATCTAGGCAACCTTTGCAATACGCTACCCATGGGTGTCGTAACTTCCTGCGCCCAGGGCAAACATCTTCTAGGTATTAATGTGTTTCTCTCAGCTCCGGCTCAGCTATAACCACCCCTGCAGTATACCGCGAAGCATCAGGGAAACACACTCTTTCAAGATCTGTGTTCATTGGTGGTACTGTGTGTGATACGAGGATTCCCTCCGTCCTTCACCTGAATGACGTCGATCATCGTCTTGATGTCGTTCGCTTCTCTCTCAACCCCCCCTTCAACCACCACCAGACCCGTGCCGCTATGTTCGGCCAGCTTGATGACCAGCTTGGTGTGGCTCCCCTTTTTGGCGAGCTGCGGGTGCCGCAAATAAATGTCAGTGTTCGGGCGTCTGGGGCATTAGAAGAACAGAAGGTGTCGAACACCAATGGTTTACCAACGGTGATGATATGTAATACAGAAGGAACACTGTATCACCATGTTTCGTTTCTCGGACAGGTGTGCTCTCAGAAGAGTTGGAGCGTTCTACATTCAAAGCCTAAAGAACCAACGTGGAAGATAGACGATGTCCACTGGTTATTCCCCAAAACTACTTCTTCATGTTTTTCACATAGTTTCGGCACGTGGAAACTTTTGGAAGCGAGAAATGCCGATCAATGTTGCCTCAGGGTGTTGTCTTCGTCAAATAGCGACCGATGTGCGATCCTCCACTAGATGTTCAGATAGACCATGCCCGCATTAGGTATTAACGCAGGAGGACGCCCGCGATCGAGTAGATCATTCTGAGAAAGTTCGGACGTGGGTACCGAATCAAGCGTAGACAGAGGAAAGAGACAAGGCAGCAAGCCGCAGCATCATGGCCGACCCTCCGGAGAATTTGAAACGCTGAATCTTTCACGTAGTGCAACCTAAAGAACTGGTGGAGGTGCCAAACAGCCAGAAACGAGCGGCACTTACCAGATCCCGCAGACCGTCTCGATACAGCTCGAACATGGACAGCTTGACGCTGTACTCGTACTGCCCCTCCCTTTCCTTGAGCACGCGGAAGAGCTCCAGCACCGCGCGAGGCGTCACCCCCGCGGTCCCGTCGCACACCCCTTCGTTGGCATTAACCCCGCCGCCGATCCCGCCCGCGCCGAACATGGTGTACGTCTTTCCGGACCCGGTCTGTCGTGTGGTTGGAATTTTCGTTGAAGGGAGTCAATCGACAGCGACCACGAAGCCACGAAAACCGCACATCAGGTGAAGTCAAGTAAAATCGGCTCTGCAGGCTCGGTTTACTTTCTTGTCTGCGCCTCTCCCGCGTGGCCGTGGAGAGTTGACACCGTAGACCGCAAACCGACAGAGACTTTGGCGCCAATCGCCTAAGTAGCAGGGATATTGTGGCCTGCTACACTTGAGCCATTTGCTTCTGCGGGTTAGGGATCATTTACGCCGCCAGAAAGACCCAATTTCTACCAAAGTGGATCACAGCCAAAAATATTGACACTGGTTCGCGCGCCAGCTATTCGTTGAGATTGTTCGTCATCGCCTACCCGTACGCCTGTATGTTCGACCCATATTCTGCAGAAAGATTCGCCACGTGCTGGTAATTGTTGTTGGTCAATACTCCTCGACCACAGACTAATCGTACTGCGCCTATGTACCAGTATGTCGAACATACTTCCCCATCTGGTCTCTTTTCCAAGGATTCCATTTACGATACTCTTCTCCACGCTGCTATCAGCTCTTCTGCATTCATACCTGGCCGTACGCGAAGATGCAGACATTGTAACCGTCGACGGTGGACGTAACGAGGTAGCCGGTGTCCTTGAAGATGTTTACTTGGTTGTTGCCCTGCTCCTCCGTTCCCGACCACACCTGGTGCCCGCAAAGGATTATACGGCGCAAAGGGTTGGGTGTACGCGTGCGTGCTTAGTGCTTGCTTTTTGGCCCGAGGGAGAGCAGGTATCTCTGCTGACCGCACCCACGGTACGCACCGCAGACACCGAGGAGCTCATAATACGCCTTGCGCTGCCGTATAGGTGACCCATGCCGAATCTACGAACGGTCTTGGCAACCGAATTTGTTTTTTCTACGTTCGGCCTGAAAGGATGATGGGGGGGGTTACAAACCGCGAAAAACCTTGTAGTACCTGATCGAAGTCGAACGTCTTCTCCTCCTTTACCCTGGGGTCTTGAACCGCTATGGTAGACTTGCCCTGCGCCGATACCGCCTCCGTACAGCCGCGGGCCTTCTCCTTGCTGCTGAAAGGCCGGACCCGAACGTAAACTCGAATCTTGCCCTTGAGATCCTCCATCTTGTTGTGCAGCTTTGGATCATTGAAGCATGAGGGGCGGGGGAGTGTGGCGACGGCGAATAGTTTGGAGCACCGAGCACGAGGTATCGAGGAGCGCACGGCAGGAAGCGGATGGCTAGGATGGTTTGTACGCTTGGAAGTACTTTTTCTGCGCCTAGAAATCACGGTCTTTATGAGACATTGGAGAGGTATGCGAAACTGTGCTTATTCATCGGATAGTTTCGCGTTGAGTTTGTCCATACCGATTTCCCCCGCTGTTGAGACTGGTTGACGGGGAACTGTCCGGTTGGCATCAGGAGTTTATTGCAGTCAAGCTCAATACCATCAAACAAGAAGAAAAATGGACTCGAACCATGAGGGCGGTACCATATCACAAACGAAAAAGGGCGAATCATTGTTTTGTTTAAAAGGGCTTGTCTCGTCTTCGTTGCCATTCACTTCCATTGTCCAACCAGCAAACTCCTTGAAGACCAAGCTCACCCGTAGAACATGTCGCCTGCGCTACGAACTCGACACCAACGACGCTGAGGGGAAGAACAACACACGACATCAATCACCACCACCATAACAGCAACAAATGTCGACGAACCTTTTTTCTCCTCTCTGACTCGCTCATCACAAGCCCCTGAAGCAGACCGTTCCGTTCCGCTGTTAAGATCGCCCTCTCTAGCTCAGCTCTCATCTTCTCTCTTTGCTCGGACACTGTAGCCTCCAACGCGGCGGTGGCTTCCGCTTTGCTTATTGCGGCGGCGGCGTCGCTCTGCGGTAGAACAGGAACGACAAATGCGCCACGGTGAATCCCAGCTTGGTTGTATCGAACAAGTTTGCACACACGTCGAATAACAATGGGCGGAGCGCTCTGTCGGCTCATTATGGAGAGCACCATCCGAAAAAAACTTTCACTCGACCGCATAAACGAACTGTCCACCTCACCGTGTACTCTACCGAATCACCGAATACTCTACCTGACAATCGCATATTCGAACGATTAACCGTTTGCCGAAATACAGTATCATCTGAGTACGATATGGGAAATACCGCAACAGCAGTAGCGGTAGGCCTTAAGACCCACTCATCGAACTCGGAACGGGCACGCATCCAGATCACCTGCGCTCGACTGATATCTGTTGCGGCCTTGGCCTTGGCAGCGGCGAGCTCCTTTTGCAGGAGCGAGAGCTGCTCGCCAAGCCTGTCCAAAATGTTCTGCTGCTCCGCTTGGCGCCGCGCCGCGAACTCCCGCCGGGCGCGTTCCGCGTCGCTCTTTGCCGCCGCCACCGACGCCTGGTTTGAGAGCGCGGTTGGATGCGGCTCTAATGAATTCGTGGATCGTCTGATGTGTTTAACGCGCTCGAGCCGACAAAGTTTAGACATTCGCCACCGTAAGGGAGCGAGAAAGTACACTCAACGCCAACGCATGGTGCCCGTGGTGCTTGTCTCCGTTTCCGCTGCATGCAGAACTGACGCCCGAGGATGTCAGCATGGGCGTGAGTAGAATACGATACATGTCGATGTGTGAGGTGAACATGAACGTTAGGGTAGAAGTGTCTCGCTTCAATAGCGTACACGAGTACGACAACCTTTTCACACCCGCTGGAATACAGAAGCACCGGTCACGGCGGGAAAAACTCTTCGCTCTCGACATCATTGCTAGCGCCAACTCCCTTTTCGCACCATCTCGCCGGGCGTTCTTGCGCGATGTCACAGCCCCCTCCTTTGGGCATTTCTTCGGGCTCAACACACAGAGTGGACGACAGACACCCTAAACACACACCACCACGAAGACGCAATAACAGCAGTACCTGACACTCGTGTACGAGATCGGACTCCTCCTTGGCCTTCATTTCCATGTCTCGGCGGCTCGATTCCGCCGCCGCGGCCGCCCCGGACTGTTCCTTGTCTACCACATCGGAGAGCGCCTGTAGGCAGGTCAGACAAGGGACGAATAGGAAGTCTACTTAAGAGGTTGGCCCGGATAAGCAACGACAACCAACGCACGAAAGGAATAACACCGTGGACCTCCTCTATGAGGGGGGTGGAGAGATGGCACCCCGCGTAGACCGATTTTCCAAGCCCGATTGCCCCACGACCAAGCCTGCGCCAACAACAAGAACGGTGGTTTTCAAATCGTCTCGCCAAGAGCGTTTCGTAGAAGGATTGGCCTCATTGGACCGTCTTCGGGAGGGTTTAATCATAGACCTGAGAAAAAGGGAGGGAGGTTTCATATCCTTATCCCTGACCCTAACCCCACCCTGTATCGTTTACTAGAACCAAGATTATCATCCTCGCGAAGGCTAGTGGCCTCTTTCCCCACCCACTAGGATGTGGAGCAGTCGAGCTTTGAAAGTCGGTCCAGCGGGGGTGCCATCTCTCCGTATCTGCAGTCTGTGCCAGGCCGATTTACCCGCCCGATTTGGGCACTTGCCCTACTCAACGTGAGAAACAACTTTTGCTTATGATTTTATGCATGCCAAGATATATCACCCGTCCAGTACCGACCACCTGCCCTATAGAGGGACCCCGCCCTGTGGAGGACAACGAACATTGTGAGGGAAGGTGGTAGGCTCCATCTTTTGCACGCTCTCGGAGAGAAGTTTTGGGGAACACGCCAAAATTCCAAAGCGTTTCGGAATTGCTAAATGTACAAACACCGAAGGCACACCCTACCAACGCGTTTGCCTACTCGCCCTCTCACCAAGTTCCTGAGTGCGCTCTGCAGGCGATACACAGGGTTTGCCAGCTCTTGGTTTCGACCGTATACCCATACGGAAGCAAAACCAGATGGGATAAAGTAACGCAGAAGCAACACGTAGAAGTATCACGGTACCTGTGTTTCCTCTGCGACTGTCTTGAGCTCGTTCCTCAACGCCGCTGCTTCCTCAGACAGGACTTTCACTTCCCCTGATTGACTCGCAAGCTTCTCTTGCAACTGACGTTCTAGAGTCTCCGCCAGCTTCCTCTGCTCCCCAATGTTTGACCGTAGCCTGGGTTGTTGCGAGAAAAAGCCTAGAGCGGTGAATACCATTGCCAAACTTGAACGACGGGTCGGTCTGACGGAAATTGTTGTTCCCTCCTCAAGTTTATCGTTTTCTACGTTGTTCCAAGGAACGGCACCCCGGCTGGTTTTTTGCACCATGTTGCTAGACGAGCATCTACACATCGCTAAGCTACTACATCGAGGAGAAAGTTCGAAGATAGCGGGAATTGTGATGAAATCGGCTACAAGTTGACTTCCCAAGTGACATTGGCTATGCGCTCGGGTGCACCTCGGTGGTCGTTGGTGTTGGTCTCGCAACCGGCCGCGACTTTTCTTCCCTAGCGCGGATGAAACCAAAATCTCTCGCAAGCACTAACAGCCACCCAAATTTATGTTCTGAAGCAAGCATAGCTTATTACTTAATAAACTCTATGTACCTTACCTCTCTTCCTCCGAGGCGGCCTCTTCGAGGTCGTGTTCCATCCGGGCGATGGTTCCCTCCCCCTCCGCTGTCTTGTCCCTGTGCAGCTTGCGTTCAGCCTCCATTGTTTCTTCGTGCGCTGCCTTCACGTCGTCCAGACGCTGATAGTTTTTGCGTGCGCCGTTGAGTTTTGTCGGCAACCACAACGGAGGAGAGAAAAGGAAGTCGACGGTGCGAACAGGGTAGTTACGGTATCGCTGTTGACGTAGCAGTGGGGTACGCATTATCGTGCTGCTTTCGAGAGCGCGACAGGGGGTACATGCCGACACGCAATCATATTGTTTTATCGCCATTACAGGAGCATCATCCGCTACGGTGTGCAGACTGTACGTCACCGCTTGAAACGTTTATAGCGGGTGTTGATGCAGCAGTGGCATCGCATCGAGACGACCAACGCGCCTCTCATATACCCAGTAGTTGGTCACTGCAAAGGCTTTTGTGCATGTGAGCGTGTGTGTGGGAATAGTCACACTGTACGGTGAAAAGCCGCTCTAGTCCATACGGGTGGAGCATACCTTTTGAGCTTGTTCCTGCAGATGTTTCAAGTCTTCAGGGGACAGCTGTGCCGGTGCCGTAGGGACCAGCTGCAAGGCACCAAGAAGACCCCCGGCGTATTCAACACAGGGGTGGGCGGTGACACCACAATGGGGATGCGAAGCAGAGGAGGGAATTCTTCCTTCGGTTTGGGTGGAGCGTGCTACAACAAAAGCAAACTTCCAACAGACCAGGCGGCCTGAGGAAGAGGTTGCACGACGCTGAACGGGGACCCTTTCAGTACCAAACTTTGTGAGCTTGGGTGCAACTTTTCGGAAGGAAATGCCAGAGGGTTACGTTCTCGAACAACTCTCTAGCTTGACGGCAGTACTGCCTCTCCGTACGTCATGGTTCCTTCGGACACAGTTAGTTCGTCCTCGGTGTTCGACCACTGCTCTGTTCCACACCAACTCCATTCAAGCGAAGAGGGCGGCGAATGGCATCGACAACCCTTGGACCAACATGGTCTAAATCTGTCAAGTCTCTTTGCCTACATGTGCACCATCGTAAATGGTGCGGCAGGGTGGACAACAACTGACCTCAACCAAGGAAACGGTGTACCTACTAAGAGCTCTTGGAGAAATTAGGAGTTCTAGGAAAATTCTTACGCCATGTGTCCGTAGAGGAACACTACGTGTCCACGAGAACGCAAGGGACCAGCACTTGTTCGGGTAGTTGGACAAGCGATCAGAGGGTTCTTTGCAAATGTGGACCAGCCTGCCCTGTAGGTGTAACCCCTTCACCTTGCCGGAACTGGCAGTCCCCACCAGCTCCTTCGCGCTCCGGGTAGACTGCAGTGTGGTGGACGTTCTTGCCCCCGTCCGCATCCCCGGCTTCTGCGCCGGAGCGGTTGGCGGCCTCCCCCCCCCGCCTGCCAGCCTTCCCGCTCCCCCCCCGACGAGCAACGAGTCTATTGCTACCGCTACTGCTGATGTGTCTTTGGATGGTGAAAGCGGTGGCGAGGATGATGATGAGTCGTTGTTGTTGTTGGTAGGTGTGGTTGGGATTGGTGGGGTAGGGGCAGCGGCGGCAACCTTGTGGTCGCGGAATCCTCTCGCCGCCCCCTCAACCTGCGTGAGTTGCGCAGCGGAGACGGAGATGATAGAATAGTTACGGCTTGCACAGGA